TGAAGGGGACGTGTCTTGTTTCAGAGGAATCCTCTGATTCTGCCCTAAGCCATGCGCAGGACGCCCGGTTACAGCGCTTGGCTTCTTCAGCTTCTTCTGTCGAGAAGTAGGTGGTAAACCATCGTCTTCATCAGAAACAAGGAACGTTGGCGAGCGAGTACAGTTCGACGATTGAGAGGAGTAGTCGAATGGACCAACGTGCCTCGAGTTTCTTGAGCTCGCAGTCACCATCCGGCGTGGAGGAGACGCCGTTTCATCATCTAGATAGGTGGGATCAGAAGGAATAAGGCGTTTCAATGATTGTGAGCATTGCGAATAGTTCTCGCTCTTTCTTGAAGGCGAAGACATTGGGGTGGGGAGCCTAGAGCGACTTTTCCATCGCCTGCGGAGGGGCAATGTTTCCCGATCACCGAATGCTGACGAAGGAAGTTTCTCTGCTTGTCCCTGCGGATTAATGAAGGTGCTCAGCCAAGCACTCGAACAAGACCCCCGGGAGGCTCAACCGGAGTATGCTGAGCGTGAAAGTCGAACTTGCTTCTCTCGATGACGAGGCGCATCTCATCATCACTCTCAAGCTCGTCTTCACTGTCGATGACTATTGCATCATCGTCATGGCCCGACAGTACCAACTTCCAGTGACTGAGTTCAAGTCCCGACTCCAAAGCCTCAAGCGCTACAATATAGGCGTCCTGCAGACCAGGGGTTGCCCGCTTGGAGTCCTCGTCGGCGGCATATGGATCAAACTGATGCAGATCTGTAGACACCGCCCATCGGCTACTTTAGTTAGCCTTGGCTTGCTCGAAGTTCTATCAGACTTACAGATTACTCGCATCTATTATTCCAGCCAACTTTAGTACAAGAGTGACATAGCCCAATGGTCGGGTTCGGAGGAAAGTCTTCGTCGCAACGTCGTCTGTACAGTAGATCGACGGCCACATAATCCCAGATCCTGGCTCGCGATATAGAATTACGCTGCCCGGTATGAAGTCTATCATCATGCGGGTTGTGAGTAACGGTGAAAGCTTCGAGAACAGCCAGTTTCTGCGTGAGCGTGCTTTGCTGACAGTAGGAGGTGTGTTGCATTGAATTCACAGCTCTATGAATGGGTGCTGTGGTAAGAGGGCCTGCTTTGATGCAGGAGGACAGTAAAGCTGACAAGAGTATATGGCATCAGCTGTATCGCTAGTGCAAATGGGTGCTGGAGAGCGAAGAGGAGACAACAAGGCTAGTAGGTGGGAGAGGTAGAGGTGATCATGCAAGCTTTGAGATTCCAGTGTAAGCCTCGCAGAAGCAACTTTCTGGGTCACAGGTCTGTCGGCATATGGACCCCAAGTCAAGGTAAAGCTCCTCGAGGCATGGGTGCGCGCCAGGTGAGAGAAGGCGGCGTCCCTCCTGGTCGTTAAGACAGCAAACGTCATTTTCACGCTGCGCACAAGCCTGTACCACCTCGGGTGAGTGATAAGAGAATGCAATCGCTGTTAAGTCGAGTTGTGCTGCGTGGATTCGGTGTGAGCGGAGCTGGAGTAGCGGGGGTTAACGTGCCCGTGCGCAGTGTGCCCGGATTTACAGTGTGCCCCGCAGAACACCAACGCGCGTCTCAACACCACAACTCCAACGCGCGATAACTCCACGACTATGGCTCCGATTGATGAGGCGATCGAGGATCTAAAATCGCGAGGTTCAGAAGAACAATTTACATTGAAGGAAATTGCTGAAAAGCATGGCGTTGACCGGTCAACTCTGGGGCGGCGATGGAGAGGCGTGACAGGGCCTAGGGATGCTGGGCATGCCAGCAGGCAAGCTCTCAACCCAGAACAGGAGTTAGAGCTTGTACGATATATCACTAAGCTTACTAAGCAAGGCCTACCTCCTACGAGGGAGATGATCAGGAATTTCTCATCAGAAGTAGCCCGTCAGCAGCTCAGCGAGAGCTGGGTTACTCGCTTCATCAACCGACACGAGATCCATCTCATCTCAAAGTGGACCACCGCCATGGATCGTACGCGCCACCTGGCTGATTCTGAGTCAAAATACCGTCTCTACTTGGAGCTACTGCATCAAAAGATTACTGAATATCACCTTGAGGCTCGAGATATATACAATATGGATGAGAAGGGCTCCTTGATTGGCTTGATAGGCAGAAGCAAGAGAATATTCAGCAGGCGTCAATGGGAGAAGAAAGAGGTTCGAGCATCTCTCCAGGATGGATCACGCGAGTTTCTGACACTCCTAGCCTGCTGTTGCGCCGATGGGAGCTCGCTGTCTCCAAGCCTCATATACGCAGCTGCAAAAGGAGCTATACAATCAAGTTGGGTAGAGGATATCAAGGCAGGAGAACATGAGGTCTTTGTCTCATCACCTCCAACAGGCTGGTCAAACGATAACATAGGCCTAGCTTGGCTTGAGCAGGTGTTTGATCGCTGTACAAAGCAACGATCAGGTAGATGGAGATTACTTATCCTTGATGGCCATGGATCTCGTGTCACGATCATGTCACGATGGAGTTTATCGACTACTGTGATCGCCACAGGATCCTTCTCATGGTCCTTCCACCCCATTCAACTCACACGCTCCAGCCGCTCGATGTAGTGCTGTTCAAGCCACTCTCTCAAGCCTACTCCAACGAGCTCACCAACCATCTCCACAAGGCTCAAGGCCTTATTCCAATCAAGAAAGGGGACTTTTTCCCACTCTTCTGGAGCGCCTGGATATCCTCCTTCACGGAGAGCCTCGTATTGAAGGCCTTCGAAGCTACTGGGATCTGGCCGATGGATGCCAACGTTATCCTTCGTAGATTTGCCAGCACGCCAGAAGCTGAGAGAAGCTCATCATCAGGGCTCTCTGACAATGATTGGAGAAAGATGGACCGATTGGTTCGAGCTGTTGTGAAGGATACCGAACAGACTGAGTCAAAGCTGCGTTCAAGCGTTCACCATCTCTCTGTGCAGAATGAGCTTTTAAAGCATGAGAATGAGGGCTTAAAGGAGGCTCTTCAACACAAAAAGAAGCACAAGAAGAAGGGCAAAGCTCTTGACCTTCAACAGCGCCAGGAGTATCACGGTAGCGCGGTCCACTGGTCTCCTCGCAAGCTGCGTGAAGCTCGAGCTAGAGAAGTAGTACGGGAGCGAGATGAGATGGAGGAGAAACTCCAAAAAGCACGGGCCAAAAAGCAGCGCGAGGAGACTCAACTGCAGCGTCAAGTTGAGCTCGAGGAGAAGCGTGTGGAAAGGCAGAGGCTCAAGGACGTCAGGGAGCAGGAGAGAGCTGAGAAAGCAGCTGAACGCGCGCGCAAAGTTGAAGCTCAACACCAAAAAAATCTATCCAACAAGCTCAACAACGCAAGCGTAAAGCCTCACAAGTAGTCTCACCAAGTAACAAGCGTCAAAAACGCGCTGGCGCTGCTCACGCTAGTGTTCAAGCCGGAGATGAGCTATCTGCTACTCCAGCCAAAGTCACATCACGTGGCCGCAACGTCAATCTCCCACAAAAATATAGATAGTACAAGTTGATTGCAAGCATCTAATTACTACAAAACTATATTTCTATCAATATTGAGCTATTGCGTGGCGCTGTACAGCCTCATTTTGAGATTGGGCATGTGGTGTTCTGCGGGGCACACTGTGAATCCGGGCACACTGCGCACGGGCACGTTACCTAAGCAAGCCAATCAACCAATCTCAGGACATCTGGCATCAAGCTCACCAGCGCTGGAGCTGTAACACAAGCCACCCGCTTGCCCTTTACAACAGCTCCGAGCAGATCGCCCTGCACTGGCCGACACACAAGAATTGCGCATTTGCAACCCTCCAGTCGCATGCGAATACCACCACAGCAGACCTCTCACCTTTACAACCACCTTAAACCACAGCCATGCTAGGCGTCGCCGGCATGCAGCCCCGGCAACTTGCCGCACAAGTCCTGAACTTTGCGCTAGTTCTCTCGACCGCTTTCATGCTCTGGAAAGGGCTCTCTATAGCCAGCGATTCACCTTCACCAATCGTCGTCGTTCTGTCAGGGTCCATGGAGCCTGCGTTCCAGAGGGGGGACTTGCTATTCTTGTGGAATCGAGGTCTGGACACACAGGTGGGGGAGATTGTGGTATACAACGTCAAGGGCAAGGATATCCCGATTGTACACAGGGTTGTGAGGAGATACGGTGGAAAGTAAGTCCCGCCACACTTCTCTTGGTCGCATGGTGGGAGAAGAAGCACAGGTCTGCAATAATTGTGCGGACGTGCAAAGGCGTGCGGATGTGCCTGATGCGAAGATACGCAGTATTTCAGAGAAGCTGACATACATCAGCAAAACACCCCTTCGTTTGCTCACCAAAGGCGACAACAACCTCGCAGACGACACAGAGCTGTACGCTCGGGGCCAGTCTTTCCTGAACCGCAAAGAAGACGTAATCGGCAGCGTAGTCGGCTTTATTCCCTTCGTCGGATATGTTACGATCCTGCTGAGCGAGCACCCGTGGTTGAAGCAAGTTATGCTGGGGATAATGGGGTTGATGGTGGTATTGCAGAGGGAATGATACTGGTCAGAGCTGTTGAAAGGGCACATGTAGACGCTGGAGACCTCATGCCAATATGGACGAGAGGCCCAAGAATGCGCTCTAGGACACAGCTTATTTAAGGCCTAGAGACAACAATGCACCCACTGATTGCATAGCAAGGCGTTACGGGCATCACACATCATTGTTGAAAGCTATATTGACTCGATTACTCACCGTTTCAACTTTGCACTACCAACCAAATCTCGCATGCGCTACTGTCTCAACGGCGTGGTATGTAACGTTTTCTAGAGCCTTATTCCATACCTCTTCCTTCACATGCTTGTCCCTGAATAGCTACTGTCCGTACACATTGATTTCCTCATTTCCAAAAGTGATGTCACCCCAGAGACCCTCGGCGCTGAGCCCAAAGCTAGCGTACCAGAACTACCTACCACGCCGCACCTCTACCCGCAAAAGCGCTCGAGAGGCCGCAGGGGCGCAAAAAAGCTGCATCTGGCGAGGTTCGAACTCGCGACCCCCTGCTAATTCCACGATGGGAAGCAGATATGCTAACCACTGCACTACAGATGCTTGTTGCTAATTATTAATTCGCTCCAGATGGACCAACATATACGAATTTGCAAAGAGTACGACACACCGCCAGTAACAAGCTCATCTTGCACCCTATCGTCGGAGCTCGACCTTTCCACAACAAACTTTGAGCGAGCGCGCAACAATGACGCAAGACCCCGAGCACACTCACCGCCTTTGACCGTAGAGGACCCACCACAGGGCCGGAAGGCAAGGAGCTAGGCAGAGAAGATAAAGCACTGTACGCCTGATAGCGCGCAAAGCTGCCCTGACGTTGGTCTTTGCAATCGAGAATTCAGGTCGTTAGGACCGTCAGATCAAGTGGGAAGATGAGCAATACGTCTGCAACCCCCTCGTACGGGTGGAACATCGTAGGTAGTAAGCAAAATGTACTTGCCGTTTCGCGTACCGATAAGGCATCCTAAAACGTGTGCATACGTACAGAGACTGCTCTGCAATGTGTCCTTCTATGGCAAGCTGCTGTGCGGTCGACTTCTGCATCATTGGTGAACCTCGTGTTTACGACTTTTGTACGGTCTCAAAAATCTTGTTAGCTGGGTGCTTGAGCCTGTTGAGATGCTGTACGAAGGGCCGGGATCGGATGTACCGAGGTATGAGTAGCGCTACGCGGACGCGTCAAGTCGCGTTGTGATAGCCAGCCTTTTAGCGGAGGTCTCTGTGCAATTCAACTTCTCACTCGCATCGCATTATAGTCGCAGCAGGTCATAGTAAACATGTTAAAACCGCAGTTGACTATTGTACAAAATCATGAGCTTCGTGATGTTTTCTGCGCCCTCGATGGTGAGAGAACGCCATACATCCTAACTGATGCCGAAGCCATGTCTGCCTTGGTAAAGCTGTAGTGCGGGCAGTCCGTAGAAAGAACCAGATCGCTAGTTTGCTTCCGCATAGAACCATCAAGATGAACCATGAGAAAACTCGATCCTTAAACCGCCCATGACACCATAACCGCCAACCAAGAGTGCAGAAAGAGGAACGTGGAATTGCATATCAGACTGGGAAAGAGTTGCAAGTCAAGTAGGCTTTACTCGGACTCCTCTTCCTCTTCCTCGTCCTGGGCCTAGAGTGAACTGTTAGGAACTGAGCGATATTGAGAACGCAAGCGTGAAATACCTGGTAGGCAGCCTTCTCTTCCTCGTAGCGCTTCTTGTCGGCGGCAGCCTTGGCTTCGTAGGGAGTGCGCTGCTTCTCGGACAGAGCCTTCCACTTCTCACCAAGCATCTTGCCGACCTCACCTGTGAAACATTAGTAGCTGCACATGGCGTGCTTGGTGACGTTGACTTACCGAACTTGATGCCGGGGTTCTCCTCGCGGACCTTGTCACGCTGGTCGTTGGCGAAGAACATGTAGGCGGAGAGACCGCGCTTGGGGGCGTTGGGGTCTGTATCTTGTTAAAAACATGACAGAGCCTAGAATGCACGTGATTGGCGTACCCTTCTTCTTCTTGCCGGAGTCGGCCTTGCTGGCCTTTCCCTTGCCGCGGGTTACCTTCTCCTTAGGCATGTTGTTTATGTGCTTTCTGTTCAGGCGGTCAGCGGGTGGTTGTTGAAGAAAGTGATCGCACGCGTAGAAAAAGAGACGAGGGCAAGTAAATGGCGCAAAGAACAAGTAGATAGCAGTGGAACCACCGGTACCGACGCTGGTAGATAGTGGGAGCACATGGGTGACATGCGTGCAGCAGCAGCATCTTGCGGCGCGCGCAGTGACGCGGTCGCAAAACACCGCGAAGCGTCGCGAGAATGCGCGATTTTGCGAGGATGGAAGTTGCAAGTACTTACAGGAGACTTAAGAATCGACCTGTTTCAATGGGTTGACTGAAGTCTATATGGTGGTTAGTATGGGTGTTGTTACTGTGTAGCGCGACGTGATGAACAGGAAATGCAACGCGATGCTGCTCGAAAGACGCAGAAAAGAAGGCAGGAAACCTTCTAGAGACGCGAATTGAGGCCAGTAAACGCGCGCAAAATTGTTTAGAGGTGTGTGGTTGTGTTGGATATCAAGTTGACATGTATAGTGCAAGCGAGACTCACCAAAGTCGTGTTCTGCGGTGGAAGCAGTTTGTATGGAGAGGATTTGAGAGGAGCAGCACACAGTATGAGGGCGCGGGCAAAGGCTTCCCCCAAAACCCAAGCGGGGTTATGTAAGCGAACTCTGATGGCAGGCGCGCCCGCACAGCAAGCCCCTCCTAACTTGGCCGGCTACCTTTCAGCACCACGCGGGCTGCAAACGATGTCGACGAATCTTTTCAAGTCCTTGAACAGTCTCTGTATCTGCTCAGCGTTGAAGCAGCAAAATTTCTAGCGAGCTGCCCATGTTTGTAAACTTCGGCGAGTTCGCAAAGCACTCAGCATTTGTGCCAGGCGACGTACGACGTGCAGCACCTTCTTGGGCGCGGCCGGGTCGCCCTCCTAACCTTGCCTGGCCGGTTTCAAGCACTGAACTTGGGCGCAGCAGCCGCTACGTGCTGCGACTGGTCCATGCTGCGCAAAACCGCCCTTGATATCACTTTGGGTGCCGGCTGCTTGATGTTACTCGCTCATCCGCCTGCCAGCCAGCTGCGCGCGCCGACCAAAAGGGGTCGCCTGCAATCTTCGTTGGTCTCCAGAAGCCGCTTGGAGGCTGGCCCGGCCGTCAGCTTGTCTTCCCTAACCCCGCAGCAAAGTGGTCTTTTACGGCATTGCCGTTGCTGCACGAGCCGAGTTTCATCCGCTTCCAGCAACAAAAACGGCTGGCTGTCTCGTTGCGAGGAGCCTGTGACTTGAACGCTTGGGCCGGTCACTGGAACATCACGTTTCTGAGTTGGTCAAAGAGGGCCTAAGGCGGTTGGAAACGTCATGTTCGTTTTACTCCACCCGCCAAGTGTTGGCGTTGCGATCCTGGGTCTGATATAAAAGTGCGCCTGAAGTTGTTGCTGTGAGCTCATGATCTACACCGCAGCCGTTGAGCGCAGCGAGCGTTCCAGCTGCGTCACGCTCCACCTTGCTTCAAGCGTGACATCAACCTTATGGGCACAACCATATATCCACAACTTTCAACAAACTACCCAACTCGTTGCGGATGACGGGCGTTGTGTTTTTGCTTGCAGCTACTTCAAAATCCGGACATGCCAGCGTCCAGGTTTTGCATGCCGCCGAATTCCATCACTCCAGGAACCGTTGTCAACAAACTACGTCATGCCGAAGTCTACTCTTCTTCCGCAACCTCATCTTCCACAGCTCCCCACAGGAATCCTGTGATGTCGCTGGCGTTTAGTACTCTTTTGAGAATCATGCGCTACTTGCGCCGTCAACGCGACAAAAGGCGCCCGGAGTATCTCACATGTCATCCACAGCAACGGCAGCAGGCCTTGTAGGATGACAGACAAGGCTGAGGATGGGCCTCTCCACTTCCACTTTCGTAACTCCCGCAGAAGCAAAGGTCCTGAATCATCTTCAATCATCCTCATCATCCATTACGAGCTCGGTTAAATTCTCATCCGCTGCCCAGTTGATGCCACTTCCAACGATCATTGCGGAGATGATACCTTTGAGCGTCTTCATCCTTCTTCTTGACTCTTTAAGCTCCTTCTCGACCGACCTGATCTGCTCGCGCAATTTGGGATCTTCAATGTTCTCAGCTGATTGTGACTTAATTGCTTCGGCCAAAGCGAGCATGGTCTTGGACAACTCTCGGTTCTTCTGGTTTGCAGCAATGTTTGCCTGCTCTATTGTGACTAATGCATGAGAGGAAGAGGCAAGCTTGGAAGCCAGACGACCATGCACCATTGCAATAAAATCATTCTCCACAATCAAAGGCTGCAAGCGTCTGATTGCTGTTAGAAGATGCATGTGTACTTTCAGCTTGACACCTACTTTTCGGCAAAGCTAGTCTCGTCACCGCCATGGACAGCCTTGAGCACTGGGTCTGTGACAAGAACATTGTGGGTGATTCTGTTGCGCATCTCGTACTCTGCCTTTGCTTCCATAGCCTCACGTTCGGCTGTGATCAGCTGCTCTTGTACGTCGTCATCTGAGAGTGTTGAAATATCGGCCACATGCGCTGCAGTCACGTTAGCCCTAAGACAAGCGAGCTGTGCGACAGCATAACGTGCCTGCTTCTTGTGCCTGCAGCAAACTTTGTTGTAATTCAAGCTCTCGCAGTTGGTCGTAGAGCTCGAGGGCTAGCTTCTCAGTCTCGGTAAACGCGAACGCGTCGCAGTGGTTCGTTTGCAGCAGATCACCAATGTCGCCTCCATCCAGCGTTTGGATAGCTGCGTCTGCCATAGTGATGTCGCCTCTGTTCGCTATCCTTATCGTAGTGCCAGAATGCTGTATGCTCAACGTTGGAAGTGAGTGATCAGAACAGCACATGTGACTATCAGTTATCGCGCGCGTGAATGATGCATTGTCGCCGACCGTGCGCCGAATCCCTGCGGCAACCTGCTTGGCATCACTTTGTCGCAGTACCATGGTCAAGCACCAGCTCTCACCTTTACTCGCACACCTGCTGCATGATTTTCTGAAGCAGCAGGAGCGTTCGCCGAATGTCGCTGCAGATTGCTGTAGCTCACACGGGCCAGCGCTTCGACGCTGATCCCGTTGCATTTGGCTCGGTTGATGCGCTCAAGCACTGGATCGCAAGAGCTACGGATATACCACCGGAGCTTCAGATACTGCTGACGCCCGCCGGCAAGCATGTCAAGCTCCAAGCGCTGCTCACCGAGAAGGACATATTCGTATACAGTCGCGAGCTATCGAACGGGTCCCAACGCATCATCCCATCTACACCGCTCCCGGATGCCTTCACGCCTGAAGAGCCTCCAAAATGGCTCGCGAACAACACCGACCTGCAGTCGTGGCGGTCGCTGTTCCAAGCCCGTCGCGACTGGGCTTTTGCCGTCCTCGAGAAATCGCACGCCATGTCCCGCACCGCTTCGCAGCACTTCTCCGAACAAGCCACAATAGAGAGGGGGACTCAGGTCGCCGTAGGGAACCATGATT